ACACACAGTATCTTTAGAACCTTACCCCCTTATTTATCGAATGGCTATGAAAAACAACTTCTAGAATTGGAAGCCTGATTTAAGCTTTAAGCGTTTTCCTGTTCATGCCTCTGACATACAAATCAATAGCATTGCCGGAATTTTTTTCTAACCTGTTGTAAATCCAAATGCCTGCCGTAATTGCTGGAAGCTCTGTGACACTGGCTAAGAAGAAGTTAAAGTGCATGCTGCCGCCAATGTAGGGTGCGCTCATGAATACACCATAATACACCATGGCATTAGCAAACCTAGAAAAAAAACAAAAACAAAAAATACAGAGTACTCGCTCTGAGTTCAAGGCCGGGACGGTCAGTATTTCCCTCTCTCCACCTAGAGTTTATCTGGGTAAAATAAAATTGAGACAAAAAAATCCATGGAGAAGTATGCACTTGCCATGGAGAAGCATCTAGTTCAGAAGGAAGAAAAGCCCTGCTTTCCTGGTGGTAAAAGACCATTAGGTTGGCATGACTCTTTGACCAAACGAAACTCGCTTTTCAGAGGTAAACATATCTCTGAAAGTTCCCACGTTTCCTTGCGTAAAACGAGGCGAATGTCTTCTCCGCAAATTTTACTCTAACATCAGTCTACATGTTCTTCATACTATTTTCCATACATTTGGTATAATCCTTACAGGGAGAATTCGTCATAAAATCAAGAGCTTCTTGAGTTCGTGATCATTTCTTTTATTCACTGATGACCTTAATCTGCTTAATGTTTGACGTGATCCTTAATTCAGGGTGACACTGTTAGGAGAAATTACATGCTTATCACTGCTAGGAGTTAAAGGGTTCATGGCTGAACTGTATTTCCAGACGGAATCTTGACTTCTGTCGATGCAAGTTCCTCTGAAGTGAGGGTTCGGTAAGAAGGAGACAGTAATTTGTCTGAAAACCAAATCACATTTAACAGTAGTGGCATATTTTCAATAGCTGAAATTCATGAATCTATTGTTTGAAGGGATACGTGACTTCTCCTTG